TTTTTAGCCAAAATAGCCTACATTGCTGAATCGATCCATCCATTCTTAAGTAATAAACAGACAATCTTACTAAAACAATTTAATTTTTTTAGACAAAATATATATTTTTACCGTTTCAAGCTCACAAGTTTGTTACTTATAATATATCACTAGAAATCGTCAATTACTAAATATTATCTGTTTGTCAGGCGTTGCTGCCTTCAACTTCCCCGTGATGATTCCCTTGTGGATGTTCCCACCGGCACTCGCGACTGGTAACACCTGCATCATCAAGCCTTCAGAACAGGATCCTGGCGCGACCGTCATGATGATGGAGCTTCTCAACGAGGCTGGAGCACCCCCTGGTGTCGTAAACGTAAGAGGGTTCTTTTTATATTATCTCATTTTGAAGAAACGTCGCCGCCCACTTTTATTTTTATTTTCCTTTTCGTACAACTACTAAGTGCATAATTTTGTATACACATCACAGTCGAACTCGAAACAATACTTCTGGTTATATATTTATAATTATATCCCCGTCACGTTGGCCAGCATGAGCTGCACCAACCGTGCATTCAAAAGTACTTCTGTGTGTTTTAACAATGAATGTATATGTCTAAAGCTGCATTGGATCATTGCTATGGTCATTGGAAAACTTTGCGAAGAGAGAAACGAAAGATTGGTAGTGAGATCTTTGCCTTTCACTAAGACAACGACGACCACCAAAAAGGGTAGAAAAAGAGATCCAGTTGCCCAGCCACTGCACCAACAAAGTTTATTATAAAAAAACTTTTCATATTTGATTGTAATCAAAATTTTCTATTCAATAAATACCTACAATTTCATTTACTATCTAATGTTTTATCATCCCAGGTAATCCACGGTACTCATGACCCGGTTAACTTCATCTGCGACCATCCTGACATTAAGGCAGTTTCCTTCGTCGGTGGTGACGCAGCTGGCAAACACATCTACACCAGAGCTTCTGCCAATGGTAAGTTACTATTATAAATTAATCTTACGATGTTTGGATGTTTGTTACTCAATTACACCAAAACGGCTGGACTGATCTGGATGAAATTTGGCAAAGGCATTTGATATACTCCGGTATAGGACATAGGCTACTTTTTATCAACATGCCATGCGGGCGAGTCTATATGGTCATAATTGATAACTTAGCCGACGAAAAAATGTTAGGGTTCTAAGGAGCTATAATGTACAGCCAGGGGTCAAAAATGCAATTACACTCTAAACATTTTAAAATGACTAAAATTTCTTTGTAGTAAATGTTCAATGGTTCACAGCCAGTTTATTCAATAATTTAGATTCTATGCTATAAATTAAAACAGTCCTCAACCATTAACTCTATTCTACAAAGATATTTTAGTCATTTTAAAATTGGTAGAGTGCAATTGCATATTCACTCCTGACTGTACCACGATACAGGCCCGAGCAGGAGAAGAAACGGAGTGGTTTTTAGTCAGTAAACGTCTAATACTCCCTGTCGTCCCTGTAATGTGTATGTGTATACATGTCCGCTGCTAGATCTAAATAACCATGATCTAAAACCCACTTATTCTAAATACTATACTATCTGATTATGATTTCCCCGCCTAAAAAGAAAAAGGCAAATCAGACAGAGAGATTGGTGGTAAGCATTTCGGTGCCGTAAAGACATCCGCGCAACATCAAGGAGATACAAGTGCGTTGCCAGCCTTCTGGAGTTTAGTGATTTGAGGATCTGGGCTTGGCAGACAGGGACAGATTCAAAATTATTCCATTAAGATTCAAAACAAAATGTCCATTCTTCTTATTGCTTGCAGGAAAACGTGTACAAAGCAACATGGGTGCTAAGAACCACGGCGTGATAATGCCTGACGCCAACAAGGAGCACACGCTGAACCAGCTCGCCGGGGCCGCCTTCGGAGCCGCGGGACAACGCTGCATGGCGCTCAGTACCGCTGTCTTTGTCGGTATGTATTTTTTTTCCGTTGGGACAAACCCACCACGACCTCCTGCAACTCCTGTAAGCCAGGATCTACAGTAGATTCGACCATGAAAACACTGGAACGCTGAAGTCCGGCGCGTCCCAATTACATGAATTACTGTCTTGGATCCCGCAATGAAATAAATCAGAAGAGAAGTAGAAGAAAAAACGAAATAGTTTCCACTTCCCTCGGTAAATTTAATGCAGGAGACAATGACTAAAAGCCCAACCACCAAACACTATTGAAAATTGACTTACTTTAATATTCAGTACAAGCTACTTTCGTGCGGTTTCACCCTCTCCTCGGCTCCATTTAATCGTAGCGTGATGTTTTATAGCCTATAGCTATAGCCTAGCACTCAGGAACATCGTAGCTATCTATCAGTGAAACAATTTTGGCAATCCGACCAGCGGTTTCAAAGATAACTCCCTACATACAAACTTACAAATATTACCTCTGTATAATATTAGTAGTATATAGATAGTATAGAGAGTTGCATCTGTGGTAATTGGCGAACTGTCGAGCTAGATGTCTTGAAGTCTGTTCTAGAACCGGGGTAATGGTTTGTTGTTCAATAGTCTCAATACAAGTGTGTAGTGCTGTGCTACAGAGTACTTCGCTTACTGTAAAGGAACACTATAGTAAACAAACTGTTACCTTAATTATTATGTATAAGTAACTGCTTTATCATGTAACTGTTTGGTTAGAACTAGTTTAAAGCCACTCTAATGACTCATATTTACGAGCAGCATTATGTGTTGTGTGTGAAAAAGGTTTTTTTTGCTATGACCCGTCTTGGAGCAGGAAAAAGAAAGGCAAATTTTTTAGTCACTATAAGACTGCACTTCTTTTCGCTGAGCTTGAGCGATATTCATTCTTAAAAAATAAGTTTTATGTACCACCAAGGAAGCCATTGAACCAATCTGGTATAGCACAACATTAATGTATTATCTCTTTCTTTTTTATAATCTTCTATTTATCTACAGGTGAGGCTAAGGAATGGATTCCTGACCTGGTAGCTCGTGCCAAGGCTCTGAAGGTCAACGCAGGCCACGTTCCAGCCACTGATGTCGGTCCCGTCATCTCCCCCAAGGCCAAGGAAAGGATCCACAGGCTTATTGAATCAGGTTAGTTAAAAGTCTTTTTTAGCAACCGCAACTGGCTGCCGTGCAACGTATCGCGGGTTCGTTTCTTCGCGGAACAATATTTTGTGTTGTATGTTGTTCCAGGTGTAACATGTAAAAAAATTTGGGTTGTAACCCACGACACAAGGAACGATTTCAGTGTGTTTCATTAGAAAAAATTGACTAATTGACTAAGCTTAGCCTGAATACTTAATAGTAAACGCTCGAGATCTATAATTAGCAGTTAATACAATTTATTCCGATTTTTTTTTATGTATAATTAAAGCAATTACACTTTCACTAATTGATATGACGCTATACGAGGGCATTTCAATAAAAAAACACATACATTAAATAGTTACGAACTACCCAACTGTTGTCTAGTTTCTTGACTGGACGATACCAAAAAAATATATTTATAACATGATTGAAAGTAGGCACAAGGCACTCGTCTATCTACCAAATAACAGCAGATGTAGTGTTGTTTATAGTATATAAATTAGGTTTCTCAACCTTACAATGATATTTCATTACTACGCACTACGCAAAACAATAATACAACAGTTAATATAAACAGGAAAATTATTATAATATTTTTTTATTTAAAATGTCAGCAAATGAGCAGATTGACGACCTGATGGTAAGCAATCGGTGCCACCCAATGACTCCTGCGAGACAAAAGAAGTACGAAATGCGTTACCAGCATTTTGGGGATTGGTGATGGGGGGGACGAAGAGGGTTTTTGGCCGACGACTTATTTTAAAGCATGTTTGATGGAAATGTAGATATATTAAAGTAGGAAAAACTATCTTCTTGATCCAGATAGTTGACCCCTTGGTTGTTTGTTAAAGAGTTATTTCTAATTTCGTAACACCCTGTATTTCTGAAACATGTGCCTATGCATGACAGAAAAAGTGTTGTACATTTCCAGCACCGCTGCCTACGCTTTAGCGTATAAAAATCAGATAGTATTATTATATCAAGGCACATAATATACTATTATGAAAAATGACAAAAACTTTATTTCTTTAAAAAATGTGTTCTAATTTTATTTTATTTTGATAGGCGTGAAAGAGGGAGCTAAGCTGGCTCTCGACGGCCGCGGCATTGTAGTACCGGGCTTCGAAAAGGGCAACTTTGTCGGCCCAACCGTCATCACGGACGTACAAACCAACATGGAATGCTACAGAGAAGAAATCTTCGGACCTGTCATCGTATGCCTCTTCGTCGACACCTTAGACCAAGCAATCCAAATGATCAACGCGAACCCCTACGGTAACGGAACAGCTATCTTCACAACCAACGGAGCGACAGCAAGGAAATTCGCCAACGAAATCGATGTCGGCCAAGTTGGTGTAAACGTTCCTATCCCTGTACCTCTTTCCATGTTCTCCTTCACCGGCTCCCGAGGCAGTTTCCTTGGCACCAACCACTTCTGCGGCAAACAAGGAATTGACTTCTTCACTGAACTGAAAACTGTCGTCTCTTTCTGGAGACAAAGTGATGTATCACACGCCAAGTCTGCCGTAGCCATGCCCACACAACAATAGATAGAGTAGATGTAGAATATAAAGTGTATCTATATTTTTATAACTGTTTACAATCAAAGTACATATTTTATTGTTACGCTAAAATGTAATGTAAGTCTTCCATAAAAGTGTATTTTTATATTTTTATAAAAATCAAATTAAATATTTCTTGTTTAAAAATCTGTTTCTTATTTTATTTCACATTTATTCTTATTTTGAATTAACCGCGTAACGTTTCATGCGCGTGCGCACAAAATGGCACAAGGGCCAATCATCGTTTAGGTCATCTGATTGGTCGGTTTACTTTGCAGGCCATTATCCCCTTATGTGTTTACAAATAAAGTCTACATTGCATATCATTATCAGCGTCAGCAACTTTGTAGCATCATTCCTTTGTTGGTTGCAGCTGTTTGTCTATAGAATGTAAGACTATGAAATCATTTGGTTTTGGGCTGGTATGCGTAATAAGCGAGGGAATAAATGGGGATGTTGTGTAAATAGAATGGTTGTTTGATACATTTTGCCGGGTAATGATGCGATCGTGTTGGATGACATCATAAACATACGAGCTACGCGAACTTCCTGAGTCTCCTGTTACTTCGATGTCAGTTCTCGCGCTACAAGCACGCGTCGCGATGTGTTTTTACTATTTTGTACTTTTTGTGTTTGCTGTTTTTGTGACTGATTGTACGGGGTTGACTCCGCAATGTAGGAATGAAAAGGGTGAACCGGTGGATTGGTTAGTATTTATTTATAATCTTTTTTTTATTCATATAAATACATTATAATACTTTGTTATCCTTTTGCAGTTCTTTGTTTACATCACGTATATCGTGGTTAAATATTTCCTGTTCGAATTGATAAAGTAGTTTTGTATTTTACTAAACGTAGTGTGGAAATGAGAAGGTAGTTATTAAATAATTCATATTTGAAAAGCTTTTGGGTGCCTGCCCCTTAATTTATAAATTAATATTTTTGCGACAAGAATAAGTATTTGCAAAATTGAAACCTGATAAATTAAAACGTTAGGTGTACTTACATTTTCCAAATAGACTTTTTATACAAGAACTGATTTTATTTTTATTGTTTATATCACGCTGAGTCCTTAAGGACAATAATAATTAAGAGCGTTTACTTTGCACGGGTTCCCATTTAATAAAATTTGTTTTATTGAAGCTTGATCCTCATAGTTAATTTACATCCTTTAAAAACTTTATTGAGTAATAAGTATTTTAAAAATATTCTTGAATCGAGCCTTTTATGTTTGTACGAGCAATTTCATAATGAGAGTTTTGTAAACAAACAAAATGGCATCTTCTTTTGCTCTAAACACTTTTTTGAAAAGTTTCTAAATTATGATATGAATAAATGGAGTATTTCGCCATGGGTGGGGCAAGAGGGAGTGTCAGGCTTTGTGACTAAATACCACATCGTTCCACCATACATTATTGCGTATATATATCTGCAATCCCGGCTGGAGTACGAAACCATGTGACTTAAACGCTTTAGTCGTCATTGCCAAAGTATGAATCACTTATTTGTTGCTATTCCTAAGCTCATTCCTATTTACATAAAGTTGTCGTGCAAATTCTATATCATGGTATTTGATGAATTACATTGTTATTATTTAATAAAATCCATTGGTATAATACTCTACTTATCTTAAGAAACTTATATTCTAAGAACAAAATAATATTTTCAACCTAATCACACAGCGTCTCACCCCGAATATGTATTTAACTATTGAATTAATTTAAAATATTATCTTTGACCTGCTTTGCGGCTCTGTCAGCGTAAATTTAGTTCCTATTTTTATCCATACACACACCTACATATATGTATATGTATGTAACTATATACTATACAATAATTAATAAAAAGAAATGAAAGTGGTAACAGACAAATATAAAATAGCTTTGTTTAGCCTTTAAATGGGATTGTTGCAACGTTCCCTTTACACAGTAGGTATTGTATTGAAATTCAATGATCACCTAAAAAGTCATAAAAAACCGGCCAAGTGCGAGTCGGGCTCGCGCACAAAGGGTTCCGTAGCAGCAAATATAATAAACTTTAACCAAAATTACAGTTAAATCAACCTATCTCAAAAACTATAAGAGATACTTTGATCAAACCAAAAATCGTTGAAAGAGTTAATTAGCATGCATCACCTCTATTTTTTTTAGAATTTTATACCCCGTAGTTATAAAAATAGAGGGGGGGGGACATACTTTTTACGACTTTGAGAGCTGATATCTCAAAAACCGTTCACTTTAAGAAAAATGTTTTTTAGAAAACTTTATATCATTTTAAAAGACCTTTCCATTGATACCCCACACGGGTATGTACATCGAAAAAAAAATTTTCATCCCTCAGTTACATGTATGGGGGGCCCCACCCCCAATTCTTTTTTTTACTATTTAGTGTCCTAATTTTGTAGCGGTTCATACAACACATATTCCCATCAAATTTCATCACTGTAGTACTTATAGTTTCCGAGTAAATCGGCTGTGACAGACGGACAGACGGACAGACGGACAGACGGACATGACGAAACTATAAGGGTTCCGTTTTTGCCATTTTGGCTACGGAACCCTAAAAATGACTACGGACAACCCTATTTACGACTTAACGGCTTTTTTGCCGAGATCCAACAAACGGCCCGCATACTTACGCATTGTTGAATCAAAATATTATGAGGGTTGTATCAATAGCATGCCACTAAAGTTCCGCAATACGTGGGAACGATCTTCAAATTGTTTGGGTTAAACGGAATAAACAAAATTCCGTAATTTAAACACACACCGTTTTCGTTGGATAAGGTACAATTAAGAAAGATTTTAATATCTTAAAACTCATGATCAACAAAGTATTTTGTGTAGCCTTGAAAAGTAGGTCGGTAAAATCTGATACCTATGTTATTTTTAATGTTTCTGGTATACACTTAACAGCCCATCATCATGTTGGACTTAGGACTTCTTTCTTCTACACAATAACATAGCTGATTGGTTGAAACGTTCAGGTTTACCTATTAGAACTAACATATGATCTTTGTGTGACCTTTGTGTTTTTGTTTGCGATGGCAGAGATCAATAACATAATTCCTATTTTTATTCCACAATTCCTAGGCTCCTATGGCCCATAATAAATACAACGGCAAAAAAAAAAATAAAAAAATTTGGTACACTCCATTTTCGAGGAGACTCTTGCAAGAGACCTTTGTAAATGTTTTCTAGCTGATCAAGAGTCATCGTGTATTAAATGCCCATACTCGAATGTATAGGTACAAACTGTTTAAGACGTTGGCGATCACCAAAATCTATTATTCCAGGTTCTATGTATACAAGTTACCGCGAGAGAAGAACCACTTGAATCCTCTAGTGCGCCGAGGTGTCGCGTACATGCATTTGACGCCTTCGAAATTACGTGGAGGATGGATTATGTCGGACTTGGCCATCAGCGACCCGAGGTCTATGGTGGGGAAGACGTTATCTCCACTGTACCATGTGAGACTTGATTTTTATAAGTTGGCAAACGAGCAGACGGAATACCTGATGGTAAGCAATCAGCGCAACCCATGGACATTCGTAACACCAAATGAGTTACAACAAGTGCGTTGCTCTTGTTGGATTTAAGGATTTAGGGGGAAGGATTGGGCCTCCGGTAACCTCACTCACACGGCGAAACACAATGTACATAAGTGTTGCTTCACGTCAGTTTTCTGTGAGGGCATGGCATCACTCCGGTCCGGCCGACGCATTCGTGCCGAAGCCTGGGTGTTCCACAATTCTTTTGATGAACAGAAGAAACTATGTTCCACTTTATAATTCCATCTTGCGGTATGCGTATTATAGTGCGTTCGCAATTGGCGAATGCAAAACTCGCCCGCAGCCAGAGAAAAACTCGCAAGTTGCGCGGGAGCACTTTCAATACTTAAAAAAAAATTAGGTACGCGCTTAGCTTAGCAACTCTTGAGCGTCGAATTCATCAAATATTTATATGTACAGCATTTCGATTCTACACTAAACGTCAATGAGTGTTTATTGAATACAAGCGTGTTTATTTTCAGGATAAAAACATAATATCTCTGATCTACAATGATCAGCCGCCTGCTACTGAAAATCAGCCTGATCTCCTGCAATCCGTTGCTGATATGTACTCCAAGAGCAAAAGAGGTACCGAGTTTTACTTTTACATACATTTTTGGAGGGTAAAGTAGGAGTAGATGGATGTTTTTTAGATACGTAAAATAACTGTCACTAGGTATTAAATAAAATTCAGTCGGGGTTGCGGGGTAACCTTCATGAGGCACCGCGGCCGCGGCCGGAAGCAGAAGAAGGAACTGGGGAATTTTTAATCAGTAAGAGTCTTAAGCTCCCTCTCCCCTCACCTGAGCGTTAGAAGTCATTTGAAGACTTTCCACGGACAAAAAATTATATTAAATAAAATACCTATCTATATAAATACGTCCATATTACCAAACATACGATAGATAGAAGATCGGAAGCAGAGCGCTTGTCACTCTAATTTTATAACCGGCTTAAAAAGGTTTTAATATTTATTACGTTTTATTGTATGTCTTTACCAACCACGGGACCACAGGGTCTCGGTCATTTGGGAGGCGTACGAGGGGCAGAGGCCTTATAGACAACTTTAATCTAAATATCTAATCTAACACCAACCGGTGACTATCCCTGTATGCTCTATGGAAATGCACCCAAGGACAGTCCCCGGTTAGTGTAGGACTATTGCGTATAATGGGAGCAAGGGATAAGGCTATGGGTGTGGGTTGCTATGGACTAGTATGATAGGAACTATGGAAGGACTATGGCATCCGCTAAGACAATGTAATTTATTCATTACGTATATTATTATTAACAGGTCAGCAAAAACAAGCAGGCGTGAGGAAGTACAAGAAGTTCAAACTTGGTGACAAGTACTACGATGACTACGATCTGGCTGAAATGTGCAAAATGCACTCTAAATTCATGAAGACTAGGGTTGAAAGTGGACATACCAAGGGCGTTATATTGGGAGACAAGTTCACTTCGCTGTGGCTCGTGCATTCTGTACCGAGGTTCCCGCCTCTACCTGATTGTAAGTAGTCGATTTTACAATTTTTTATGTCAAATTGTATGTTAAGTATATTAATTTTTGCTCCTGGACCATAAAATGTTATGTTATCTACATACCTACTATATTTATCATGTATGTACTATAAATAATTTTACTATGCTATCTACATAAGGCTGACCACAAGTATGTCACTACTAGAATATATATGTTATAATTTTATATTTGCCTTTATCGACGACTGCTAGAATCAGCCCACCTCCTGCTGGGTATGACAATTACTTGACTGTAGCAGAGCTTGCAACATAGTCAAAAAGTATTTTTTTTGTTAAAATATTAAATTATGTCCATTATATTACGCACACGATTTCACGTTCCAGCTTCTTCATCACAAAGAACACTTTTCGCTCAAAAGAGCGCTCACACGTTATTAGCTTTACCTATTATAAATAGCTATAAATTTGAATTCACTTACAATACGATCTTGGTATATCTGTTGTGATACAACGCTTAAAAACTATAAGGATTTCTAGTTTACTACGGAACCCTAATAATCAAACGATCAGGGATCAATAACTCAGTATCGATTCTAATTTCATATCCCCTTCTTACAGTCATGAACGGCCTAAACGTTTCCGGGTACGATTACCCTTCAACTGGAATGAAATATGGACAATCTTTCCTCTGCGTCTCCGTGCAAACATCAACCCTGAACCAGATAGCTACCCAGTTGAAGTACAATGAACCCCTTCTAGTCCACACCCACATACCGGCAGAGTTCGAAACTGAATTACCGAACTTAGTCGAGGTTGTACGAAACAAGACGATCGACGCATCACCCTGGTAAGTCGGATGTTTATGTTTTCAAAGTTTTGTAGAACATGCCTAGTGGTCATTCAAACGATTCGGATATTCCGGATATTCTCATGGGTATATTGACAAACATGAGCCGTAAGAGGAACTTTCTTACTTGTGAAACTTCATATCAAGACTACAATACAATTTTCTGCAAAAATGCACACGAAATTAAAGGTCTGTTACACTATGTTCGAATACCCGCCATGATCTAGATGAATTTGAAAATAGAATGTTATTTGTATGAACTATGTAACCAAATAAGTTTATCCTAAACACATGATATGAAAGTGGTAAAACAGACTCAAAAAAAAAATTAATATGACGTTATAAACAAGACAGTATCTATATGTGCCGAAATCTTGTATATCACGCTTTAAACGTACCAATTCGTTAAAACCCTGACATCGTCATTTTACTGTGACAAATTAAAACATAACCAAAAAACTGGCAATGAGTAATGTTACCATATATCTGAGTGCACTTCTTGAATTACTGCGTATTTAATATAATAAAAAGTTATGCAAACACTGGGTCATCCTCAATGAGTCAGACCAATTCATTTTAAGAATAATTCACAACAAACATTGTTTTCGATACCAATCGTATTTTGAGCTGCTGTTTGTTTGTTTACAAGATTTGCTTACTAACATTTGAAAGGGATATGTCAAGAATGTTGTTATTGCCAAATGTTTGGATAGGTAGTTCTTATTTTGGCAACAAAGAATATCTCTCTTTCGGAGATTAGGTACTTACGTGGGAAATTGTGAAAAATGTACCTTGTGTCTATATATGCAGGTAGGTAAATTAGGAACAGATTTGATACAAGTCAATTCATTTATAAATAAAACCAAAATGCCAAGAAAAATGAAACACATGTCTAAGGTCTCGTTTTCGTACACGCCGGGCGTTGCGCGGCACGTATTTCGTTTGTCGTACATTACAGCATCAAGTCGTGTCAACGGCCGTGCAAACACAAACATATGAACATCACGGGCAATGTATGACGAACCGCACAACGCGCCGCTTAAACGTAAACGAGGCCTTAAACCCAAGAGGTTGGGGTTGCGGGACAAATGTAATAAGGTACCGCCCGCCTGGCCCGGAGCAGGAGAGGGAACGATGTATTTTTATTTAGTAAGAGTCTGACAATCGCTCTCACGCCCCACCCAACCCTCAAAAAAAGACTCTAAGGACCCTATATATAGGTCTTTGGATTCAATTTCAATGACACTCGTGCATTCTGGCTTTTTCCAGAATATTCATTGATGCATAAGTATTTAATTAATAGGAGTGTTATGTTATGAGATACGGATGACTAAAATGGAAACTAGGACAATAATTCCTTATATTATTGCTAATTGATCTCTGGTTTATAAATAAATTCACCTACTTATACATCCCAGTGCGCAGAAGAGCGCCATTACCTTCTTTTGAGAATAAATATTTTTACTTTTCCATTGTTCTAGTCTCAACTCCTTTGTTATACAAAGCACATATGTTAATATGTATAAGCCTTTACAGTATTGTTCGGGAAAATAATAAAATTGTTTTAAAAAAACATAACTTAACAGTAAAAAGTTTATATTTCATCTTTTACACATTATTTTATAACATTCTAGCGACCCGCCCCCGATTCGCACGGGTGCAATGTTGATACTAATATTCTCTACTTCTTAATGGATGTTATTACTTATACATACTTATACCTACACCTTCCCATTAAATCACTCTATGTATTAAAAAAGTGCATCAAAATCTGTTGCGTAGTATTAAAGATTTAAGCAAACATAGGGACAGAAAAAAGCTACTTTTTTATGTAATAGGTCGGCAAACGAGCAGACGGATTACCTGATAGGCAACGGAGGAGTTACGAGTGCGTTGCCGACCATTTAGGGATTAGGGATTGGGGGAGGAGAAGGATTGGGACTTTGTTTTATACTATGTAGGTAGTGATGCTTCACATCATCAGCTTTTGAATACCTACTGAGCAAAGTGCTCTTGTCACACTGAACATTAATCATCGCGCAGCGCGCTTGCTCAAGGTGTATTGGTGATTTCAATGTTAGTGATGTTAGTGATTCATCATCATCATCATTATCATATCAGCCACAGGACGTCCACTGCTGAACATAGGCCTCTCCAATTGACTTCCAGATAGGCCGGTTGGAAGCGACCTGCATCCAGCGGCTTCCTGCGACATGTTCGTGATTGGGCGCCGTTAATTGGGTCTGGTCAGCTTAACACCAGTCAGCTTTAGCACCTTTTAACTGTGTGAATACATTATTATTGTCCTTGAAGTTATTTTATTTTTCTTATTCTCTATCTAGATATTAGTGTTACACAAAGGCGAAGGAAAACATCGTGAGGAAACCTTTAAAAGTTTGAAATCCTAATCGACCTTGACCAAACGTGATGATTATCTAATGCTTAAACCTTTTCCATTTGAGAAGAGGCTTTGCTCAGTAGTGGCCACTTCAACAATGTGTTTTTTTATTAAATTTTCCAGGTACCACATTGAAAGTTTTGAGACTCTTGTGGGAAGGAAATTCCTGTCGTTTGCAAAGAGTGCTATGTTCAATGATGATCTGTACAGCGGTTTGGTGGCCGAAGTGTTGCAGTCTGATCTCCTTGTAGAATCCTGGACTAATGGACCAGGGACACTCGACTCGGAATGTAGTAGAAATTTCCAGTGAGTAGCTTTACATATTTTTTATATTATGGCTTAATGACGTATGTCTTTTGACACAGAATAAAATTATATTTTATTTTAAAGTGAGTCGTCTTGAATTGGTCATTCCTTCTAATTAAGCTTACTTATTATAGAGTAATTTCCAACTAGCCTTCAAATTCTGTCCGAAATGTTCAACTATGTAATATTTGTTTAATGTTGTAAAAATACGAATGTTAAGTATATCGTAAAAGTAATGCAGTTAGCTGTAATTATTTTGGAATACCTATTTTTAGAGTAGGAAACTATCTATTTTTTTACCGAATAGTAACAGCAAACAGCTACAATACAAAGCTTAGGTACTTCGGATATAAAAAACATACTTAACAATATTAATTGTAGCCCACAGCGCTGCTCACAGATTATCTGTGGGATACTTAAGGAAAATCACTAGGGACAAAATGATATGAAATTAATTTACATATCGGACACGATTATAAACAAACTAATAATATGTAAACAAAATAATATCAAACTAATTTAATTTCGATTTCAATACATAACCTCATTAGTGTAGATTGCAAAACAAATTTTGGCACACTCAAAAAGTTTGCAAAATACACGGAATGTATACTTAATAGATTTTATTTTAATATTATTTCAGAGTCCGAAACATAGAACGGCTGAAGTTCCCGATAGCGAAGATGTCATTCACGTCACACAATGATCACTCCAAGTGGGCGGTGGCTGTAGCGCACAAGATGCACAACAGTCAAGATACTAAGGTTGCAGACTATTGGGTCTGTGTTGGAGATATCAATCGAGCGGTTAGTATTACATTATTTGAAGATTAAAGGAAATAAGAAATTTAAAGGAATTTGAACCGTAGTCTTTAGTATTATAGGAGTTTTGGTATGGTAAGCAATCGTCCCCGTCCATGGAAATAAATACGTAATACCAAAGGGACATGTGCGTTGCCGACGGTTTGTGATTTAAGGTTACATGATTTGAGGCTTCAAAGACACTTCTGGGGTCGCGAATATAGCCGTTATGAGTCACCGAAGCCCTGCCATGTAGACAAAGCGGGGTGGTTTTTAGTCAGTAAATACTTGAAACCCCACCAAGGCCTTGCAAAGACGTTTGACATATTCGCCTCAAAATTAATGGAGCCTTTTTATTCACATATCCGTATACTCTTCAGTATTTGTCATCCCTCATACAGTTAGTTCACACTTATTGAATCTTTTCCTATATTAAAATTTAGTGGACTAGTTGTGCTTATCCATAAAAGTCACATTGTCCATTCAATGTTACATCTTAAGCGACGGATCGAATTAAAAGTCGGATGTCTGAGTTTGTTTCTGCATTTCTTCTCAGAGTAATCAGGTGAAATATGTCGGCTTCATCTAGTTTTTACATGTAATTTTGACGTGTAGAGTGCTGTTTTACGATCTATTTACAAAAATAAATTCAATGTTTCATTGTTTCGATCCAATTAGATTATTAAAATGTGTCTCTATTGTTTCAGTTACCACAAGAGTCACGCGGAGGCGGTACGGTATGCACATCAGGTCCTATCTTATGGGGTAACTTTGCTCATCTCATAGAATCTGTACAGACGTGTAATTAGAGTTCAATTTGCTTTGCATATAAAACGTCTGCTCAAGGAAAACATTCCTTCAAATAACTATCAATAAAGTTCAAAATTTCATTATTCGAAATGATGTAAAAAAATAAATAAAATGCATTTTCTATTTTATAATTTGAAATAACTTTTTTGTACTTATTTAAAAAATAATGTGATTTAACTTGATATGCTATCATTGCCATTGTTTAATCATAGAAGCGGCCATAACGAGCGGAATAAATAATAAATATTAAATTATTATAATTTATCTAAATTGTAGTAAGTTAGTTATTATAGAGTTATCATATAAGCTAGATAATTAAGTTATATTAGAAGAAAAAATTTGATGACAAAATTCTACAACCAATGTACGATGTCAAATTGGTACTTTGATTAGTTCAATTCATATTTATATAACTTGACAATAATTTAAAAATGTATTGTTAGTTTTCTCTTAATGTAAGTAAAATAGTTTTTACTTGTAAATAGTGTATGAGAGATGCGTCATGTTGTGTTTCACCCTTTGTACTTGTTCCGTGGTTCTACCGAAATAAGAATATGCTTGATTAGTTTCGAGCCAATCCAGGGGCCCATAATATCGACCAGACAATGAGTTTTTGACTGAATTGATTTCTAACAATCGTTGTGGATGTCTGGTGTTCCTTAAAACTGGTCCATTATGAGCCTATTTGAACAGCGATACAACTTCTGAGTAAGTATTATAACTAAATTTATTTAATATATCTCATGATAGTCACATTCACAAGTGTTATGCAAATAAGTGTCATAACTCACAGTCACTAAAGTCGAAATCAAAATAATTGATATCGCATCATCGCTATAGCTTCATCTGAGCTGGCCCTCGGATTTTAAAGTTTGTGTCATAAAATATTTATATTCCTTTACATATAAATATGAAATAACTGAATAAAATATAGTTTTAGTACAAAAGGTGTGTTATGATCTGTGATCATAGTATACGATTGTGTTACATTAGACTATGGAGGATACATTCAAGGAGAACTGTCTTTGTATAAAAAAAGGTTCCGCTGAAATTTGTTAAATTGCGGTGGGGTTTTTTGTTAGGGAAAAGCCATCAAATGGCTTCTCCCGCCCGGGGTGAGGCGAGAGGGAGTGTCAGACTCTTACTGACTAAAAACACCCTGTTCCTTCTCCTGCTCTAGGCCGCGGCTGCGGTGCCTCGTTTCACTTACCGCGCAATACCAGTTAAACACCAGCCTTATAGGGCCCCGTCTGTGGTGGTCTATTGGCTCTTTGAGGCGCGCGCGGAACGCTACGCGCCGTACGCTCGGGTCTGTTTCTGGTCGGGCGGCGAGCTAGTTGTAGCTAAAGGATAAATTTTGTTACTTGGCTAACTTCAATTTGTTACCAAACACTGCTACGTTCATGTTGTACCTTTTGCTGCACCTAGCGCCATTTTCTGGAAACTTAAATATCCCTCATATCTATAAGATAGTTCTCTTTCCATCTGCCTTCCATACATTAGACGTAAGCGCACTTCATTGAAATGGGGGACAAAAGAAAAATGCAATGACACAGATTAAAAAATACGCTAAAAAAATTATGTAGTTTGTCATGATGCTGTAACGTTACACGAGAAATATTAACACATTATTGGACAACATTATGAACATATTACGGTATCCATTAATGAATTTTCAATCAGAATCAACCAATTTACCTAATTAGTAATATTTTTTCAATAGCAGTGCTGTAACATAGATGTCTTTTGCGCGTTTTTGTTTATATAGGTACCATTATTACCATTCAAACTCAAAGAAAAGTTTTCTTTGAAAAAAAACCTGAATATAACTTATTGTACGATCCCCTAATGTATATTGCGACTTGACTCGCATGGTAAAACGTCCTTACATAATTAAATCACGAGTTTAGAATGAGATTAGTAAACATGTGAACATTTTTGTATTGCCATATACCTATATCAAAATTCAATAACGTATTTGTACGTCAATATGATTCTTGAATTTCTTACTGCCTGTTTCACTGCCTTCATATGAGTAACCGATAAACTTATTTGGCATATAAGTCATACCAATTACGTTATATATTCAAATGTATGTGATACAAACAGGCTAACTTGCCCTGTCTTATAGTGCTTCCGCACTTCGTCCGATCCGAAGCCGTGAAAATACAGGTCTAGAAAAGTCGGATATAATTCTGACATTTCTTGAAACAAATCGGATAACGAATATATAAAGTAAACTACTATAGAAATGTACTAGTTCAAGGGTTCGAATAGGACGGAGCGTAGAAGGTACCTTAGGTTATTCTTAGATTTAAGTCTATTCCTCAATTTTATAATAAAAACATTTATAATACCGATGCATTTTTATTTTACTCACACAATCTTCTCCATGTTACGACGTATTTATAGCATTTAAAATTCGAATTTCAATTTCCTTTTTTATTGATCAATAAAAATTTGAATTGCAGTTGATGGATAAATTTGTAAGCAGCCAGTTTTATTTGTATTTTTTTAAAGTGAAGTAATGGCGTGTGTTTTTTTAATATTTGTTTTTGTGCAGTATTTGTTTGAGTTTTGTATAAGTTTGGAATTGGTAAAAGGATGGGAATACTTGAATTTAAATTGCAGAGATGAAAGTAATGATCCTGTGGACTGGTATTATACTTTTTTTATTTAAATTTCGAATATCCATTAGGTAAAGCTTTAGGGCAATATTTTGGGATATAACCTTTTGGTTGTGCTTATACCGACAATATACGAGTAGGATATAAGTACACATAATCAGCAATGCCCACTACTGAGCAAAGGCCCCTTTTCACGGAGAAGCATTTTCTCTAAATTTAGTCAAGGTTATTTTTTGTGGGGGGAAAATTATCAAATGACTTCTCCCGCCCAGGGCCGGGCGGTTCGTTCTCCTGCTCTGGGCCGAGGTCGCGGTGCCTCATTGCGCTTACCTCACAACCCCGGCTGAACATCAGCCCTATAGGGCCCCGTCTGTGGTGGTCTATTGGCTCTTTGAGGCGCGCGCGGAACGATACGCGCCGTATGCTCGGGCCTGGTTCTGGTCGGGCGGCGAGCTGCCCTTACTCGCCGACCGCAGACCCGCGCTTACGGTGGCCGGAGATCATGCAATTTCAAACTTAAAAGTTCATGTTTCCTGATTACCTATACTTTCTTTCACTGTCTGTCAGTAGCTTAGACACTTAGAAAGTATCTACATAATAGTTTGGACAAAGTCATATTGTTACTTGCCAGATTTAGAACCAATACCTTAAGTACCACGACAAGTTGACGATTAAATTAATGTAGGTGAAATATGTATATTTAGCGCGACATCGCTGTGCCGTCTTTCATATTCGTGATCCGGAGAACAGGGGCCGAGATATAATACCATATGAGATATTTTACAAAGGCCGGTTCCCTCCTTACGTGGTACATAAGCATAGCTGAAACTTCATATGATTTTTTATACCTGAAGGTGGTACATTTACAAGCCACCGAGCAACCTGGGGCCCTCCTTCGAGTCGGGAACCAACTTCACATATATCACATCCGATATGGCTGGAAAATTGATGCCGTCCTCAAGCCATATACTGTCCGACTCCATGCTGCAGTACACCTTGGCGCCTATGTATAATGTAAGCATCATATATATAATTATGATACTCTAGTAGATACCTGCCAGCGGCTTCCTCGTAGTGACGGTAAAATAGTACTTATTACAGATTGTGAAGTATATTATTTGATATAATCTGTATCTAAGTAGTTAGGTATGCCAAATCATATTCTGCGTCTTTCAGTAGTTTTACGTGAAAGAATAACAATCATCCATCCATTCATACTTTTATAGATAAGTACCTATACTTATTGTACCTAAGTTGGTAGGTAGGTACCTATCATATTATATTATATCGATTTTTTTAAATGTATATGTGAAGAAAAGTAATAATTTTTAAAGCATAAAATATACACACTAGCTAAAAGATTTGGTGTATTATTAATTGTTTTTAGAATTGCATTAGGTACCATCCTTGCACATTTTAGTCACCTTCCATCACGTTTATACATACTTTTATGCTAGTGTGGGAAATAATTTCGCTTCGGCACGAAGAGGCCAGCACGACCAGACTGATAGCAAGATCTTCTAATCTCCCTTCCATCTCCAATCCCCAAATCCTCAATCCTTAAACCCCAACAACCCACAAAAGGCTAGTAACACCTTTGGTGTCGCGGGCGGTGCCCATTGCTTTCCATCAAGTAATCCTGTTATCATGTAGGATGATAGAGCTTGCTCGCTAGCCTAACGGCTCCATAAAAAAAACAATTTATTTCCAGGGAGATTACACAGATTTTATGGGAGTGGTAGTATATGAAGGCCGGGAGCCGAAAGACGATTTTAAGGGATCTTCTTCCCTTGGTATCATGATGGCCAACGCAATGGGCGGCATGTGGATAGGGCATACCATCCCTGGATTTCCAAATTTAACACGTAAGTGTCTTAATGGAAACTACCACTTTTGATGTTTTCTTTTTGGTAGTCTTCAACGTTCTTTTTAATTCCAGTTGACGCAGCAGCATTTCCTCCAGAAGAATTGAAGAATGGTCACATGATAATGTGCTTTTCATTAGGTATAGAAACACTAAACTCTTTGGCAATCGCCATAAAGCAGACTGGACCTGCAGTAACAAAGATAGTTGTTCCGCAATTACTGAAGTCCCATTTACCAGAATGGACCAATCTGATGACAACTGACCATCCATTAAGAAGGAGATCAAAAACTTCTGTGTAATTATTAGTTGGTTCTTTTTAGCTTCCTATTTACTGATTAATATGGCGCAGTTAGTTCAGTTTCTTAGTTATGTGCAGCTTTTATACAATCACCGACTTGTAGGTCTCTGCTTTCACGTTCCACCTAATGTTTCCAAAGGTAACTTTTTTCTTTCATATATCTATGGGTACCAGTCGACACCGATCGATTCTGATTGGTTAAGCAAGGTTAATTTCGATTCTGATTCAGCCGAAAAGATTTGCTGTGATGTATGGTCACCACGTTTTGAAAATATAATATATGTCTTGCCTAACTTTTGACTCGGTACCTAATACGGCATGAGTCTCAAAGAAAAAGAAGAAGTCTCTGGAATCATTCCAGAAGTTTCGAAACCTATTTAGTACAAAAAATAAAAACAAATATTATATTTATAATAAGTACTAAGAATAAGGTATATGTATATATTAGAAATAATGTAAATAAATAATATTGTAAATAATGGCAATTTTCAGGAGAAGAACCAAAATTTTAAGTTTCGCAACAAGGGACAAAAGTTTGCGCGGTATAATAATGGCTCGTAGTCCAGGAGACACGCGTTGTGTGTACCAGAGTTTCGCTAAAACCAAAGGAATTGTGGTGGACGTGTATGGCCACAAGGAGCACCATGGACTTGAAGAATGTGACAGAAAATACAGGTTAGAATTCTATTCTTGAAATTCAATAACATTTTGAGACAGCGTGACAAGATGTCACGCTGCCATGCCATTAGTTGTATTTAGAGAAAGAGAGACACATATTCTAAGAGGCATATCCAGTTTTGGCTAAAATGTATTATCTACTAATGTTATAAAGCTGTAGAATTTGTTTGTTTGAACGTGCTAATCTCCGGAACCAATTAAACAATACTAAAACCGTGCGGGAGTAGCACGTTCACAGTATACGTATTTGTCTTTAAGTAAGATCCTACAGTTAATTAATTATTTTGCTCTTTTCAGCATACGTAACATCAATTCAATATCATTAAAGTTTCGGGAACAAGTTTATTACATTCCTAATTCGTCTGACACCGTGGGTTTTGCCCTCAGCACAGGAGCAAGTTGGCAAAGAGCTGGCGTTAGCAAAAACCAATATTGGATGTGTACCGGCAATATAGAAAACCAACCGTTTGGTGCCAAAGGAGGCATTATTGCTTGCGTCTTTCATTTCCAAATTTGGCGTTCCTTTGATAAATTAAAGATAAAGGAGCCGGAGTGTCCAAAAACTATTTTTTAATATTATTTTTCATTTATTTTGATATTTACGAAATTGAGAGAATGAATTGATATTGTTAATTTGGCAAAATCGAGCGAGGGCCTAAATTGATTGGGCCGTAAGAGAGTGCCTTGTAATCTCTATAAAATTTGTTTGTTATTTGATAAATAATATGGAACTATTTTGTTGTAGTTAGTTTTTTATAGCAATGTATTTGCTTACTTTAATGGAGAATTTTGAATGGTAAACAATTAATAGACGTAATCTTTGTTTGATTTAAAAAAAAATAAAAAAAAATCCTTGTTTATAGACAAAATGTTTATTATACAACACAAACATTATTTACATGATTATGATTCATATCGTTTTAACACACAATAAGTGGCGATATAAAAACAAACAACTCAGAAAATCGTATAAACACTATAGAAAATGTTATGAAACCTTGTTAAAATGGCTTCACTGGATCTAAGACGCTATAGTGTATAATATACAGTTTTCATAATATTGAAACACTAAGTTTCTTGGCACCATGTGAGCTTGAAAATACTTATGTACAATTCCCACAAATAAAACAATCTTTATGAAATAAGAATGCGCTGCTAAGCAAAGATTTTCAGTCACCGTTGAAGAATAGGCACTATTCCAGGTACTTACAGCACGGAATATTGCTCTTAGAAATATCGTTTTAAATAATAGCACTGCAAAGCGCTCCACCTCCGTCCTTCCGTGTCTTCGATATTTTTGGGAAGAACGGGTCGCTTAAACTTACAAAGTATGATTACATAATACACTTAGGTACGAATAAATGAGTATAAATTGCAAAATTAGCCCGAATGGCAAACTTAATAAAACATAAAATTAAAAACTGACTCGATTAAAGCATACAAATAAAAATTAAATGATTAGACGTTAGTTTTTTGATGTGAAAAAGTTTTGGACCCTTCACCTCAATATTGGTGGTTGTGTGTGAAATTCAAACAAGAAATATTCATGCAACATCAATAACAATTGATTAAATCCATAACAAAACGACGTAAGCTTAACTAATGTATTAAAAAGTTATTTACTTTACATATAAAATATTTTGATTCATCGAATTCATTCTCTCCAGTTAAGCAAACGTTCATACATTCTGTGCGGATAATATTGGAATATAACTTGATTGTGACATGCTATTTGTTTGGCAGTGAAAAAACTGGGGAGTGTAGGTTCCCTTCAGTGTGCGACTCTTAGCGACGGCATCCTGGTGAACCAGGAGTCTTGTTTCACCTTCAGGTAGTAGGCGTCTCTTGGCGAAGGCACAGTAAGAGCGTCTTCGAGAATTTTCAGAGCACTGGTCGGTAGGATCTTGGCGCTGTACTCTGCCGCTTCTCCCGGCATTGTCACTGCACAGCTGGCGGTGCCGGCGCTTACTTCAGAGCTTGGGGTTTCGGGACGACTGCAAAAAGTGTAAATGATTTGGAATGAGAAAAGAAATGTCAGTTCCAGAATCCATGTTAACCGACCCAGTATGCTCAAACAAGACTTAAGTATTTGTTATATGTTAAATATAATTCTCAATTTCAAAGTTGATTTAGTTGGTACCTACATAGGTAATATGGTAAAAAACCACAAAAGCTAACTACATATAATGAAAACAATCAAAGTACCTAGCGGGCTGGCTAGGTGGCTGTAGCAGTGAGGGTGGCGAGTAAATCTCCTGCGCGGCTAGGTCGGGTGCGTGTAGCAGGATGACGTGTAACCTGCGCGCGCGCAGGCCGGCTCGGAGCGCCCGCGCAGCCCCCCACACTCCCCAGCGCGCAGCCGCTGCACCGGCGCTGTTCTCACCCGTATCTCCTGCTTCGAGGCGCGACAGGCTCTCGCAAGCTGTGTCTGAAGTCAATCCTATAAAAAATATATAATTATTATAGTGAAGAACGATTTGTTGGAAATATTTATTTATTTAATGGTTGAAACATTAAAACTTTATTGTTTGTATAACATAATTAATGACAAACATACATAATTCTTAAAAATTAAGCACATGGTTACATTAAAATTAACTTGGCGTCGAGTCGCGGAGGAATGTACATGTCGCCCGTACGCGACGAGGGTTGGGGCGCTCTCTCGCGCCGCCGCTCGCGCCACCTCGGCCTGCGTTGGCGCGCGGGGTGCGCGGGCGGCGGAGGGAGGGCCGCGCATGCGCGTTGCTGTAATAGGTAGCGCTGCGGCGCGTTGCAGCCACAGTGTAGCGAAGCCACAGCCTAACCAAATAAAATCCCGCGCTACATTTATTTATTTAAACTTCATGCACAATGGGTGCTTAGGCGGACTTAATTCCCTAAACGTGTCTACCAGTCGAGCCTGAAATTGATGAAAATTTTCGAAATAATTTTAATTAGGTACGTTAGGCATGAAAATATGACCTGATTAAAAATGTAGTACCTAACTGGTCGGTTGTATTTTTTTTTCGGTAAGTATATATTGTTTTAAATTAGGAATATGCGGATTTTCATCACGTGATCGAATGGCTAAGCCGACTTACCAATATAAAACAGCCTGCCAGCATGCGGATGGTCAGCCGCAGCTGCAGCCAATAAGGGAGAGAAGGTCCTCGCGACCCGCAGAGCTCCCAGTACATTGCCCCGCAGCGCCGCCTCCCAACATGTAGCTCCGCCGCGACCGCTACTGCCTGCCGTGTTGATCACCGCCCAGATACCTGATAAAAACAGTTGGGTGGTTTTAAATTCCGGTACTTATACAAATATTCGTTGAGTGATTAATAATATGGTCTAATATCACTTTCCAATTAGACAATTTCTTTTTATCGAAATAATAAACAAACACTACCCTCCTTTGAGGGGTAAAATCATAAAATGTCCCTCCCCATAGATGGGGTAAGAGGAAGTATCAGACTCCTTCTAACTAGCAAACACCCCGTTCCTTCTCTTGCTACAAGTCGGAACCGTGTACCTTCATTCCGAAAACGATACTTTACAGTTAGATTTTGATGAAATCGCAACATGCCACGTCATACCTAATGATTTTACCTACATGAAATATACCTATTGCTTATGTATTTATTAAAAAATCTATACAATATCTAACCCGTCAAATCAAAGAATAACATTAGATACCTTTATTTAAAAAGTTGGCTATAATAAACTGACCGATGAATGTGCAGAAAGATGATACAAAGTGGGACCAAAATAAAATGGATAATGATAGCGTGATAAGCGGTTGTAACGTTGTGTAACTACACGAGTAGTCTGCTTACCCTATGCATTTAGTTCAAAGCGTATCATTTTTCGGAATGGTTTGGCGTTTAATCTAGAAGCTGCTGTCGACGAATCCTAAAATTATTACAGATTATTATTGTTTCGGGTTGGCACTATGTCTTGTTGTGTGACAGCTAAATATTTAAAATGTTGTTATTCTTACTAATAATATTCTTCTTACATGCCCCTTATTTCTACAATCCACCTCCAAAGGGCTGGCAACGCTCTTGCAACTCCTCTGATGTTGCGGGTGTGTATACGCGGTATCGATTGCTTACCGAGTGGTGCGACAGCACGTTTGCAGCCCTATCCAACAAACTATTTAAAAAACTACAAATAACTTCAAAATAAAAGTTTACAATAGCGCCACCTATGTTTGAATGCATAATTAACTACGTCATCGCATCGGGTTGAATATCGTATTACATTGCCTGAGAGCGGGAAATGTGAGTAGGTGTTATAAAGTTCGCTAGATGGCGTTTCTCGATCCTTATGTCGTAACAAAACATTTACTGTAATTTATTTTTATATGTATTTTATTTTTATTTTTGCTATACATGATAAAAATATTTTAAGTTTTTAAGGATTCTTAAGGATAACAATAAATCTTGAAGCACTATTTCGTCACCTTACATCAAGCACTGCTGGTGTAGTGGTATCATGCAAGATTCCCATTCTTGCGACCCGGGTTCGATTCCCGGGCAGTGCACTTATCGTTTTGGACTTTGTGCCCTTCAAAAACGGTTTTCTTAACATATTTTTTGTATTTTCCAATGATTTTCGAAACTTTTAACTAAGATGGTTGTAAAAGATTTTCGTTTCGACTCATCGATCACTAATAAAGAACTTTATTAGTGATCGATGTTTCGACTATATGAATTTAACCTCATCAGACAAAACAGTGTATGTCTATATTATGAGTAAGTATATTTACTGAATGACAAAATTATCTCATGCAAGATTAGCATTTTATTGTTAGCAACGCAGGAATTCGTATTCGCTTACTAAAAATTATCTTATTAAAAACGTATAAAAATATTAAAACTACCCACCAAACCTGGAGAAAAATATAAAAAAAATATTTTAATAACATCATGAATAAATGTAGTCTGTGCGAATCAGGAAGGGGATTCATATTTGGTTTGAGATGATTTCTTTGCATGAAATCTAATCAGGACTAGTTTCTTCCAACAAATTCGTCTCCCATTCATTGCACGAGCCTTAGGTCACAAGAACATCTTGGATTACAAGAATCGAAGGGGTCGGGGAATAAAAAATCCGAGATTATGTTTCGTACCATGTTCTCCAGCGGGTAAATGCTGGGCAGTAGCTCTAGCGGCTTCTTCCAACAGATCCTCTCTGGCCACGTCCAGCTCCAGGGTGACCAGCCTCGGCTTCGGCTGGTCTTCGGGCGTGGTAGCAATATGAGCTTGTAGCCAAGAGTCAGCCAGGCGGGCTCCTAGACCACCTGCCCTGCAGCCAGCGATCACTCGCCAACCGCGACTACTTAGATATGTTGCGATCTGTCGAAATTGAAAAGGAATTTTATCATGAATATATAATAAAGTTGAAAATCATTTGAACTAGCTCCTACTGCACCCAGCTCAACAGCCAAATAATATCTAGGTAATAAAAATTAGATTTGTTTTTAAATATTTACTGAAACTATTTTAAGTCTTTAGATCGGCCCATTGAACCTATGTTCTTGGAACCTATTCTTGAATCTTGAAGACTTATTGAATCAGGTTTCTGGCTAAGTGGGTGTTGTACACAAGGTTCAAAGTAGGTAATAAAATTTTACGGGGATAACAAATTTAATAGATACACGAGGAAAGGTATTTGTCGTAGTTCTAGTATTTCTTTATCGGAACTATTTCTAGTAAATTCTTCTTAGTGTGATGGTGTTCTTTCTATTCCTGGTCTGGTCACATCATAATACTAAACTATAGTATATTGTTTCGATGAAAAATGGGTTATTGCTTATGACTTCACTATCTTTGTTTGACACTATCATTTAATTACACATAACATTAATTAGTCTATACTGATATTATAATACTGGATTGTTTGTTTGTTTGAACAGGCTAATCTTCAAAACTACTGGTTCAAAGTGAACAATTCTTTTTGTATTAGAAATTAGGAAAACTATTCTTTTCTTATGAAAACTTACACAACTGAAGAAAATTGTTGATATTGAAATATTACTGCAACTTTTTTCTAAATAATTGTTTGTTGCTCACTAAACTTACTTGTAATCCCAGTGCTGTGTCAACGGATGTTACAAGCACTGTTTTAGCGCTGTCAACTGGCAGCACCTCAGCTACCCTGACCTTCCTCAGCAGGTACAGCAGCAATGCCCCCACAATGGAGCATAGCGCCGCGAATTGTAAGCCGAGCGATAACCACGTGAGCGCGTCCATTTCTAGCTCAGTGTCCAAACATTATTTCTTACTCGATCTGTAACAAGAAATGTATTTTCATTAATAATTTAAATAGCTTTGCTTGTTTTTACATAACTGTTACTAGTAGGTTTTTATTTTTTTATAAAGACTGTTTGTGAGGATAGTACTACTATGTAGCCGGTTTCTTTCAGAATACGTAGGTATGCGATATTTTCTTCGGCATGGCATTTAGCAGCCTTTACCTATCATTGTATGGTAGACCTATTTTTACCCGACTTCGGCTAAGCAAAAGGAGGGTTATTCCATCATCTTTTATTCTTTACGTCTTTATTTTTACAATTCACTATTAAGCTAGACTTCCTTCGACAAACATAAATGCTTAAACTAAGAATGTATCTATCTACTATCTACCTATAGGTACAAGGTACCTATTGCGCAGTTATCCAAATATAATTCTATCTATTCGCTATGATCTTACGCTGAGTGTTCTCAGAATGTTGAAATCATCTCCAGAGTTTAAATTCCGTTGCGTCATCGTATTGTTCTTTAATTAGTTATATTTAATTACATCACCTCTGTAGGCGCAGTAATATTTAAACTGATTGCGTTTTGATGAGTAGGTATTTGATGAGGAGTTATGTCGTGGTGGCCCGGAGGTTAAGAAGCCCGCTTCTCATTCATGAGGGTGTAGGTTCGAAACCTGGCAAGTACCAATGTGACTTTTTCCGAGTTATATGTACTTTCTATGATTATTTAGGCACCACTGACATACGGTGAAGGTAAACATCGTGAGAAAACCTGGACTTATATTTTCTAATTATAAGTTTGAAATCGCCAACCCGCATTGAGCAAGCGTGGTGATTAATGCTCTAACCTTCTATGTATGAGAAGCGGCCTTTGCTCAGCAGTGGGCATTTATAGGCTGATGATGAGTAGGTATTTGATAATAGGCATGAAGAACTAAACGAACGGAGCGAACCCAATCTTGGGTGCTACAGCAATTCAAGACTGAAGATTTTCCAAACAAAACTTGACTACTGGTCACAGATCATTAGGTAAAATAGTGTAACAAATCGATCGCACACCGACTTATTAAATTAACGAATCTAGGTTACGAATAATTGATTAAAGCGAAGCATAAGATTCCATAATAAGTGCGTTTGTAGTAAAATTGCTACTCAATGAAGAATCTAAATTATTTGACCTGGTTGAGACAGCGTGGGACGATGAGAGTATACTTGATTCAAGTAATGTTTTTGAAGTATTCAGTATAACGGTTAACAATGTCAGTGTCAAGATCGTAAGATTACATCAAGTTATTGTTTCATTATGTAAGGATTATAACGGCTAAGGAAGTGAGTGAAGATAAGACACGCGTGTCTGACAGTGAGATGAATATCTTATCATAGTCGATGAGATCAAGACGTCCGTTGAACATACCACTCCGCAGTTACTTCCAGATCGGTCGGAAGTTGGAGGAAGTAATCTACATCCAACGGTTTCCTGCAAACCTTATCACATATCACAAATATTCATTTGTTATTGAATATAAAAGAATAAATTGCGATGACCCCAAGTGATTTAGGTTCAGTTATGTGATTTTTAACGGCCGATTCTATTTTTATTAAAATAGTAGCTGAACAGCGGGTCTTATTAACAAAAATATCTGTGTTGCATACTAAAATTGCTGTCAATCAAATTCTATCTCAAGTAACGACGTCTAGAATAGATCGAACGTAGAAAATATCTGTAGGTTATTATGTAACTTATGTAAATGTTTTAATTTTTTCTTTAGAACCCTGGCTAATCTAGAATAGACTGAGTCTAGTCTAGTCTTCCAATCGATTGTTTCTAAGCAACAGTCAATATTAAGACGAAGAGATATGTAAGTATTTGCATTATCCATTTCTTATCCATTTCTAGTTAGCTCACATTGTTGTTATTAACACTTACATAGTTAATTTAAGCATATATCCTTATTTGTTCCTGCACAAAGAATACTTACATTTGGTCGAAACAAATGTGCGTCTAGGAGATGCATGGGTTTGTTTATATCTATCGGGACTTGTGGAGTTGTGGCAGACGGTACGTTTAATAAACAGCTCCAATTGTGGTCGCTGTATTTGTTATTGTTAGCTGTACAGACAATGTATTATTTCCTATCATTTTGTGTTGCGGTTGTAGGTGCAATACTAGTGGCTATTTGTTTTTCAGTTTATACTGTTATAAAATACTAGCTATACTAAAATTCAAGTTACAACAAAAAATATTTTTTATATAAGTACTGACTTGCGACTTCGTCCGCAAACCTTAAAAAATTATACATTTAAACATTAGTTTTGATTCATTCTATCTATTATAAAAACCGCACCAAAATTTGTGATGCAGTTTTATACACTTAAGCGTACCTAGGGATAGAGAGCGGGAAGCAACTTTGTTTTGTACTATAGGCTGTTAAATGAACAATTGATATTAAATCGGTTGCATGTTACTAAATCAACGGTCAATTATCTATTATTAATGTGACAGATTCAATTCAAGAATAGAAAATTCTCTTCTTGACTTCTCTTATCCAATTTAAACCTTTCTCATTAAACATATGCACATATGGTAATAACATTCGTCATCTGATGATAGAACCGCAGCAATCGAAGCTTATTCAACGGATTTTTGTATAATACAATGTACCTAAACAAATAAACTGAGTATTGTGTACTACTCTTCTTACGTTGATTTATTAACCACAGCCGTCTGCACTTCCATTGCCGGATGTTGTTGCTTGTAGGTATGTAGGAAGATATCCTTGACTCGCATCTTACAAAGGAAATGGTTATTTTTTAACAAAACCATTACTTACCATGTGTACCTTTTCCATTATTGTTTCAACGTCTATTATAATAGCACCATGTTCTATGTTTGAACAATGCCAAATAAGCTCATTTATACAATGGCATTTGCATCTCAATTTGTGTGGATGTGCCTGTGTTTCAATGTTTTAATAGTTTTCTTGAGGAATATCTTTATATTCTTCTCTTTCTGATTTTGCATTTTTAGCAAAATTAGTATCGTATTACACGTAGTTGTTCTACCGTTTCAACTAAACAAGTAAATCTCATCACTTTCCAATGGCTATATGGATAAAATCATACATAAAATTTCTCCTCACTGTTATAAACTATGTATGTCCTTACTACAAATTGCCTATGTATTTAAATATCAAATAAACTTATTATTCATTTGCAATAAACTAAGAAATAAACGTTAATCACGTTTGAAAAGCTAGTTGTGGCCATTTTATACTCAATATCTTTATTGCTTTTCCATAAGTACATTTAAAGGTGGTAACAATTTGTGTGAGATCAATTATGGACCCTGTAGGGCACAGCAAAATAAGGCAAACAGGAGAGAGGAAGCTCTGTTTCAAAATCTTAAAATACCTAGCTTAATTCTATTTAAAATAACTTAATTCTATTTAAAGTAACTTAATTCAATAAAATAGCTTAATTCTATTTAAAATAACTTAATTCTATTTAAAGTAACTTAATTCAATAAAATAACTTAATTCTATTTAAAATATGTTAATTATATTTAAAATAAAAATTCAAAAATATGTAAAATATATTATGGAGATCATTATTATCACTTTTCTTGAGCTACAATTTATGTATTGTTTATTCTAAGGTTGCTTAATTTACTTGGTTTTCTTATTTATATATCATGTACATTTGTAGTTATAGTTATATATATGGGTATTTATAAATATTTTTATTATATTCAATTTAATTATTTGTTCTATCTGAGAGATATTCATTTATATTATAGTAACATTTGTTTATAAGATATTTTTTTAATTTATTTACGAATATGTTTAACTTTTTTTCTTCTTTTATTGAGTCGGGTAGTTTGTTGTAAATTTTAATTGACATTACGTAGGGACTTGTAGAATGTAGTTTGAGTTTGGATGTTGGTATATTTAATCTGGATGGGTGTCTGAGTGTGTAGCGTGTTTGGATATCTTCGCGCTTTGTGTAGAATTGTTGATGCTTACGGACAAACTTACAAGTTTCTAGAATGTAAATACTTGGGAGGGTTAAAATATTATGTTTTATGAAATACGGTTTACAGCTGTCAGTTTGCTCGATATTTACCAAGATTCTAATTAATTTTTTTTGCGCAGTGAAGAGGGTTTGTGTATCTGTACTATTGCCCCAAAGAGTTACACCATAACTAAGCCATGCATTTGCATAAGCGTAATAGGTGGTGAGGGCAGTTTGTAAGTTGGTGGTTCTTTTAATTTCTCTTAGAGCATATGAAAACTTTGATAATTTCGAACGAGTTTTTTGTATTTTTATCGATGCTCATTGGAATGAAATAATCAATATCAATGTGCCGGCCATTACTATTGAGCAGCGGTTTCTCTCGTAATAGGCCCCTATTATTAGAAGAAAGTCCTTTTCTATTCGATCGACAGTCGCGTCGGTTCCGCATGAAAGCTGTCCGGTAAAAACATTGGCACTTGCAACTGAGGTGCCAGCATTTGTTACTAAGTGGCTGCAATTTATATGTCGTTTTTCTACGACGTCGATTGATTACCCTTCTTTGTGGTCTATGAATTTATAATAATGGTCTTTAGTAACAATATAAGTAAGTACCAGGATATTAAACTTATTTCCTAAACGCTCATCGTAATGTGTTTATATTCTCTGATTTCTTTAGAATGTGAAGAAAAGTTGAAATCAATAATTAAATTTAAAATGATAAAACATCGTCAATCGGATAGTATGAGACTAATAGTGACATTAAGAGTGGAAGATGTTGTACCTATATCATTACGTGACATGATCCAACCACACAGACGAACAAAAACGTGGGGGACTCACATTGTGCATATTCTTTTTGTTTTGTACCAGTAATAATACAGACAAGGTCAAGGTTAAACCGTAAGTGAAGAATTAACATCTTTTTTAAAGACGAGTTGCTAAGACACCTCCCTTTTTCAATTAAAAACCAACACATTTAAAAAAGGTATTGCAAATGGTTTAATGAAAGAGCAAA